CTCTGTGAGTGTGTGTGTGTGTGTGTGTGTGCGGACAAGGGACGAAGGACAACGGACGTGGCGCCATCAACCAGGGGACCTTCTACTTCGCACACGGACAAGGCGAGGAGGTGGCACTACGACGATTCTCACGACCCTCCATCGCCATTGTCTCCATCGTCCTTCGTTTCATCGTCGAGAGATCCCGTCCCCAACCAATCCATCCTTGCCTCCACGCCAGGGTCCGCCAACCCAGCATTGCAGTTGAAGCTGATTCCGCAAGCCGCCCACTCCGGGATGTAGGTGGGTCTCTCTTGGGTGGGCGGCTTCCCAAGGCGATACAATACAACATTCGTGGAGTCGACAATATGCCTCCGCCAGTTGAATGTCTGCGCCCCCACCGCCATCTGTGTCAGCTTCGTGACGAGCTGCGAGTAGTACGACGCCTCGTAGTGAGAACGGGCGTTGTCGCCACCCATACGCATGATCCACATGTTGGCGGCGAGAAGAAGGCGGAACGCGTCACCGATTCTATTCAGCCTCGACAGAGACATCTTCCACTTCTCGGACCACTGGCCGCCACGGAGCGCATCTTGGAAGCAGGACGCCAAACACAAGACCATGGACTCCTGAAGGGCATCCATGTCATCGTCCTCCGGCCTATCGTGGATGTACACCCCGACATACCACAATGGAACTTCCATCTTCAAGGCGAGCATGTGATACACAACGCTGGAAGAAACCACCCTCGACCACTACAGGGACTGCCACACTGCTTTTGCCAGATTTGTCGGGCAGTCCACTGAGTCACTGACACATACGACTCCGCGCGGGCGAAACAATCGGCTCTGGAAGGGGACCTAAAGATCCACCCGTGGATCACACGCATGGCCACGTTGTTTGTCCTTCTCAGAGTTCTCGCCCTACGAAGAGTTGGATCGCGCTGCGCTGGATTTTCGATCCGAAAGCGAAAACGTCATTCGTTGGCATGATTAGGCATGCGGGAGCACTTGCGCTAGCGTCACCATTCACGATCGAGCAGTAGTAGTCTGCGCAAGAGTGCACAGCGTCGGCGATTAGGCGGCCAGGTTCTGCCCCCAAGAATGTTTTTCCGTCTGTCCACAACTTGGACTTCGAGTCCAAGTCGTCCTCGTCGGCGTCGGCCTCAACCACCGGAGTACGCTCCGTCATCTGCTCTTTCCTTCCCACCTCCTCGCACGTCCCCTCTTCTCGCCTTTCACCCCCGGTGCTGGCTGTGCCGTGGATAGTCGTGCTTGCCACGTTCGGTACCTAAAGCACCCTGCCCGATGACCCGGCTACGGTGTTCGATGGATCGACGCGGCGACTTTGTACAGTCTGGACAAGTGTTTTTTCGTCGCGTCCATCTAAGGCCACAACTGTCGACGCTGGAATGACATGTCTTTTAGCCTATGAATCCCCCACGGCCCCGGCCGTGGTCTGCGGTTGGGGCCGCAGGCCCGCAGTCATGACCACTGCGGTCGAGGTCAAACTCGGCCCGCCAAGCGCGAGGGGAGAGGGGTGCGGGGAGGCGGAGACCAGATCCCAATGGCGGGGGGGGGCTTCTACCGCCCCGCAGTGAAAAACCATAGAAAAAATAAAAATTTGGGGCCCGGGCTGGTATTAGGGGGGTCAAGTGGGGGGTAGAAAAAAATCAAGGACCCCCCTTTACCGAGTTTCGCCAGGCTGACGCCGACGCCTGGGTGTTGGCGGGGGGGTGTACTTCCATTGTAAACAAAGAAAAAAAAATAAAAATTCCTGCATTTGGTTTGGGGAATCTTGTCCAGAAGTGGGGTGTGGGAGGGGGTATGGGGGAGGGGAGGGTGGGTGCCATATGCGGTGTGTGAAGAGGGTGGGTTGGGGCCCTTGGGGGTGGTGTGGGGGGTGCTAGGGGGTGTCTATGCGTGTGTGGGTCCATTCTGGGCTGGGTTAATACGTGTTTAATAGAGTTTTGGCCAAAGAAGACGTGACAAAAACACCACATAAACAAGTGTTAGTGCAATGGAACGTGCAAAGCATGAACATCATCAGACCATGCATCAAATGTACTCCACATGAGATTTCAGGGCTCAATTAACAACAACACCACAAAAACACACAGTGTCACACACCAATATCAACTACCATACATGAGCACGTTCGGGTAGGTGGCACAGAAGGGTTTCATGAGCACATAGAAAGGGAGATGAGTCGATGAAGACAAAACAACAAAGTGGCAAAGTACTCTCAGTGTGTGTCGATATACAAAAAATACAAAGCATCATGAGTACAGATAACATCAAATTCGCGCCTCAGAATGCATCCACCAAATAAAACACCAGTAAGGAATGCGTCCACATGGACAAGGACCCGCTAACAGTATGAGACCAGGAGAAAGTACAACATACCTACACCACTTGCACCATACAGGTTTGTGGCATATGAGATACAAATGTAAAAAAAAAAAAAAAAAAAAAAAAAGGCCCTAAAGACTAAAGTACCAATCTAAGACAAAACAACAGAACAAATACACCTGCTGACAGTACGACACCAAGAAAAATTACAACATACCTACTCCACCAGCACCGGATAGTTTCGTGACATATCAGCTATAAATGTAAAAAAAAAAAAAAAAACAGGCCCAAAACACTGAAGTACCAACCTCAGATAAAATAGTGGAACAAGTAGAAACAGCGAAGCAAACGTACTGTAGAAGTCTCTAACTTCTCCCACTGCGCCTCGCACGAGTCCCATGACGTGCTACGCCTAATGTGCTCTCGGGAGGTCCACTCCGTCCCCACCCACGTGCCACTCTCTCTACCTATCGAGGTTTGGCATGTCGATCCCCTGTCGTTGCAGCCGCTGCCCTCCTGGCCCTGTCCCTCCGCGCTACAAGCCTACAGCGTCGATAGGCTCTGTCTCTGTGTCGGCCTCGTCCCCGTGTGCATCCGTCTCGGCCAGCCTATACTGCTCTCCAACCAAGTCCTGCATACGTTGTCGCTAGACAGCAATCTTAGCCTCCAGGCCACTGATGGATCCGTGACGTCTCGCCCCTGCTTGCCCGACGTGTAAGGCAATCCTCGACGTCTATCATCAACAGCACCTGGGGTCGGGAATACCTCCAGCCTCCTCGTCTGTCTCTCCGGCAGTCCCAGGATACGTGCTGCCGTGTGCACACTGGGTCGTCGTAGGTCCGCAATGCTCGCGTCACCAACATCTGCCCCCGCCGTCGAACCTCGTGCAAAAAAACCCTGTCCCCTCTCGCAATCCCTCCTCAAACGGTCCGTAACTCGTTTGTAAGACGACCACCCATCGCCTGATGCCCCATGACTGGCCGATGCCACTGAAATCGCTGCTCTGCTGCCACTGCTCTTGTACAATGGTGATGAATGCACCGACGGTGGTCGTGGTGGGTGCATGTCTCTCGTCGACCCCCCTCCGAAAACAGTTGCCGCCTCATCCCCTCTAACATCACTGCGTGACGACCCTGACCACCGAGGGCTCTCAAACACCCACCTGGGAGGCGACTCAAATCCATCTGGTGGGCGGCGGGGATCGCTCCTCCGACCTCTGTGAATGTAAGGGTCCTTCATCACCGCGCGCTCCAAGTCCTCTGGATTGAGAGCCGGTGGGGTGGACTCCTCCATCCTCACGCCCACCCATGTAGCCCTCATCGTCGTAAAAACATGGCGGGGCCTCACAACGAACACGATGGACATGTCTCTCGCTGTATCCGCGGCGGGGATGACTGTGCCTCCTCGTCAGCATCAACGCCCTCCTCCATGACAGGACTACGTCCTGCACGAGTGTCACTTCCCTGACGGTCAGTGTGCAACCCTACCTCCTCCGCCATAACAACATCCCCCATCAACGAAGTGTCACGGCCTCCCGGCATCCCACCCTCCATGTCTGTCGTGCGAAGACCAACGATGACTCTCTCGACAAGATCCTCCTTTGCGGCCTCTCCCCGGTCTCCGTCGTTCGGGCTATCACTATCTTCGCCTCGATCGACGTCATCTCCATGCGGTTGACCACCTGTGCCACCAACACTCTCGGGTCCGCACTCCCCTGCCACGCCACTGTCAATATGCACACCAAGGGTCGGCCCACCACTAGCCCGTGCTCCACCGGTCTCCAAGTCCCTCAACCTCCGTTGCTCGGCCTTGTATGCCTCCCTCCCCTCCCACCTCGGCATAAACTATAACCATGCCGCCTCCTCACTATCAAGACGGGTGTCCCTCTCCTAGGCCGTCTCCTCTTGTTCTCTAACATTTGTCCTATGGGCGGACTCACCCCCACCTCCGTAACGCAAGATAGGCGATCCACCATAAGAGCCACCGATGTCGAAATCGCTGGTTCGCAACGAAGAAGGCATGTCGCGGGTGTCCTGGCGATCACGACCATGTGACGGAGTGACCGGAGTACGCTCCCCGAGTGGGATGTCCTCTAGGTGCTGCGACTCCACACTGCCCTATCCTGCCAACCTCGTTGATCGACGTAGGAGCTGTGAATGGTTGAACGAGTGGTGGCTAGGATCAAACCGAGCGTCCCTCAAATGCTCCGCCGTCTCGGGCTCGTCCTTGCTGGAGTCGACACCTATTGAGGTCGTGCTGCTCGATGGCTGAGTCAAGCGACCCGCAGGGCTCCACTTGTCTCCGACTCCCTGTGTCTAGCCTAAGGCATCATCGGTGATGACTCATGTCGGAGACGCAAGCCTGTCGGATCCTCCGCCATACGTGAAATAAACCTGTTCCGCGGACCTGTCCCCTCCCGGCGAAAGGTCCTCCGGGTCCGTCCAATCGTCCTCCCCAGCCTGCGCACCCTCAACGCCAGCATCCTGTGCGGGAGGAGGCACATGATCGTAAGGCAGTAATGTGGCAGCCCTCTTCCCAAAAAAGGACAGACACCTCTCGTGGAGAGGTTGTGTCGTCGCATGTGAACACGACAATCTGCCTCCTTCAACTCCTCATCGTTGACGGTCCGAGCCGGTCTCGCCCCCCACACCGCTGGCTCCGGATCGTCGTCCTCCCCCAGTCCCACAAGGTCTATGGTCGTCGTGGTCGTCCATGATCCACGGCATAACATACCCACCACCATGCTGCCTGCACGAAGCCAGTTTAAGATTAGTCGTAATCTCAACCAGATGTGCCACCTTGGCTTAGCCAAGCTTGTTTCACTTCGTTGTGTGAATGCGCTCATGCTTAGCCCTGTTTCTCTCCGAAGGAGAGGCGGCGGTCCACATGTGCATCACACGGATAGCAATGGCACGCAACTCTGGGTGGGCTCACCCGTGGGCGAACCACCATACTGCACAATGCACCGTCTCGTCGTCCCCCATGCAATCTTGGGCCTCTACATCAGACAACAAGCGATCACCCCAATTGCCTCTCCGCGAGTGGAAACGACGCAGCTACTCGCGCACGACAAGGTAAACTCTGCCTACCGGACCCCCCCCCGTCTGCGCGAGCAGAAACCGATCGCACTCATGAACAACCTTCAAGTTTGCGTCCTCCGGTGTCGTGTGGAGGGACTCGTAGGACTCCATTGCTATGTGTCCGAGTCCCCCTCGGCCACGACCACCGCCGCCTCAACCATGACCGCGCCAGGGGCAGGCGGGGGCACGAGCGCCCCGCGTGGGCACGTCGGCCACTACCACCCTGTACGGAAAAAACAAAATTTAATTTAAAAATTTGGAAGGTTGGTTTTTTGTGAGTGACAAAAAAAAAATTAAAAATTAAAAAAAACATACATATTGATTGATTGATTGTTTTTTGTTGGATTGTTTGATTGATTGATTCTTTGATTGATTGATTGATTGGTTGGTTGATTGATTGATTGATTGATTGATTGATTGATTGATTGGTGGGCGAGGGGTCCTCCCTCCCCTCCCCCCGGCACACGCACACACACACACACACACACACATACAAACTCAGCGGAACGCATGTCCACGCACACACACACACACACACACACACACACATACAAACTCAGCGGAACGCA